CATTGTTGTGCAGCCTTTACCACTGTTCACCTCCAGAACTTTTTCATGATCTTAAACTCATTCTCCATTTCCCCAGACCCGACCCTACTGCTCTACTTTCTATCTCTATGAATTTGACTGTTTTAAGTGCCCCATCTAAGTGGAATCATACTTTAGTTTCATGTCTGTCTCATTTTACTTAGCATATTGTCTTCGAAGTTCATCCATGTTACAGCAGGTATCAGAATTTTCTTCCCTTTTAATGCTGGATGATATTTCAGTATGTAATTATACCTCATTTTGTTTATTCACTCATCTGTTGATGGATGTTTGGGTTGTTTCTGCTTTTTGGTAATTGTGGGTAATACTTCTGTAAGCATCTGTAGAATTATGATCATCATTTTTTAAAGCAATGTTGAGTATAATAGTTCCAGGGTTTTTCTGATTCTGTGTATGACCCTAAAACAGTCTCTTTTCTTCCTTCCCTTCTGCCCTCACCAACCCCTGTGCTTGGAAAAATCAAACATTTTCTAGAAACCTAGAAGAATACATCATGTTATTTTCAAGTGTCATCACTGCCTTTATTGAGATAGCATGAGGGAGAGGAAGAATTAGGGGCAATACTATAGAGAGGCAAAACAATTCCAAACCTGTTTTTCTTTCAAAATATACCTTCAAAATTGAGTTCTAAGTCTCTTACCACTTCGTGAAATGCTAAAAAATAGGCATGTTAAAGGAGGGTTTTTGACACCAAGGGTAGAGATACAGCTAAATCATTTGTTTATTTGGCCATTAAGCTGGTCACTTACTGCCTGAAACAGAAACTCACTGAGTTCAGGGACTTGCTGCTCTGTCTTCTCTCATTAGAACAGAGCACAGAATAGACACTCAATACGTATTTGTGAAATAAATAAATAAGTGATATAATGAGCACTCAGTATGTCTTAAATACTGTAGGAGGCATTAGAGGGTATCAAATAACACTATTTCTGTCCACATAATGCTTTAAGTTTAGCTGGTAAATTAGAAACATACTGCAAGATAGCTATAAAAGAAACTGCAATGGGTGTTCAGAAAAAGAAAAATTATTCATCTATGGACAGAAAGGAAAGATTGTGAAGATGCGTTAGAATAGAAAGAATTCCTACAGACGAAGGCATCAACCTGCATTGCACGTGGAGTTCACAGCATAGGGAGAGGCACAGTGCCAGCGAGAAGTGTAACAAGGGACTAAGGTGTGTTGTGCTTCCTGCCTGTTGAATAAAGTTTAAATTCTTCATTTAAGCTTCAAGGTGCCTTCCATTTTCCCATGCCCAGGAAGATATCATTATTCTTTGCACTTCAGTTAAGGAAACAAAGAAACACACTGAAATTAATTGAGAAAATGTGAATTTTAATCCAAGGCTTCAGATCCCATCGCCTGTGGTTCTAGCCACTAGATTATATTTTTAGTGAGTATTAATTAGCTTCTTTGGGCTGGTATAGAAAGAGTAGATGTAGGGAAGAGAGGGAGAATGAGGCTGAAACCTCCAAAGGGTTAAAACGGTGGTGGGAAGTGGGGATTATCACATTTTAAAAAATCTTGAATTTAAGTACAAAAAGCATTTTTATAATTAAAGTAAATTTCTTTGAATAAAATATCTAGGTAGAGGTTGTAGAGAATGATAAAATGCATTGATTATTAATAGTTAACTTTACGGAGGTTCTTTATTGCCCTTTTGTATATATTTAAATTTGTGAACGAATTATTTTGAACATTATGTTTTTCAATGATTTGCATGAATTTTTTTAAGCAAGAGTTCCCCTTTTAAAATAATATTCAGCTGAAATGTGTTCTAATATTTCCTGACCTATAAGAAATCTTGTTTTTTAGAACATAAGTCAACATTAATTTAATTGAAAAAATACATATAATTCCAACTATTAAGAAATATTATAAGCTAATGAAATAAAATACATAAGAAAGAGCATTTTTTTTAGAGTGAAAGGAAATATAAAGTAAGGAAATATTCCAAATGAATAGCTATGTTTGTAGACTGGACATGGTGTGATTTCGGTGGACAGCTGAGGATCACATAACTTTTATTAGCAGCATGGAACCACTGCAATATGTCAGTTTGCTCTTTCCATTTAGGCTTAAAAGAGTCTTTTTAAAAAACAGTTGGCTACTATGGACACCGCAATTAAAAATCATTAGTATTTTGTAGTGATAAAAATGTTGATCTATACTTTGAGTTGTGTGGATAGAGTAAAAAAAACTAAGGCAAATATTTACATTCTTCTCTTGCTGTTTCCAGCAGCTATATGTATGAGAAAGAATCATAAAGAAAACAGAATGATAGAGTAATGAGCCAAAAGGGGCTCTAGAGATGAATAACAAATTCTAGTTTAGTGTACCAGCAGGTGTGATGGGTAATTTCATGTGACAACTGGGGTAGGCTATGATGCCCAGTAGTTTGGTCAAACACTAGTCTAGATGTTGCTGTGAAGGTATTTGTGCATATGATTAACAAACATAATCATTTGACTTTGAGGAAAGCAAATTACTTTCTTTAAAGTGTGTGGGTCTCATCCAATCAGTTCAAGGCCTTAAGAGCAACGGCTGAGGTTTCCTGGAGAAGAAAGATTCTGCTTCAAGACTGCAACACAGAAACCCAACCTAAGTTACCGGCCTGCTGGGCTGCCCTTTCAGATTTGCCAGTTTTCACAGCCACACAAATCAGTTTCTTAAAATCTCTCCTGTTACATATATATGTATAGGAGTTGGCAGAAGCAGGTTTACAGCTGTGAGTATTCAAAAGAGAGTTTATTCTTGTATTATTTCTTATGAATAATTGTATTATTTGTATTACAACTGTAAACCTACTTTTGCTCACCCTTGTTTATATAAAACAGTTCTGTGCCTCTGACAAACCCTGATTAATACAGTGGATAAACTAAAGCCCAGAGAAATGATATGATTTTCCTAAAATCATTTAGTAAGTGGTAGCAGAACTGATAATATAGAAAGATTGGGAAAATGGGTCATAAAATTGCCTAAAATATTAATTATAAGGCCAAGAAAGAAATTCAGAACTATCAACTTCTAACTCTTTCTTTTCTTGGTTGCATGCAGAGAAATGGAAAGTTTTATGCAAAACCTAGTACATTAAAAATTCTGACATTCAAAGATAAAACAGGGGAAGGATTATTTGTTTGCTTTACCAAAAGATAGAGTACGATTCTTTACAGGGGAAACTTTCCTCAATAGTTAAGGTGGTTCCCTTTTTAAAACATGCTTTGTAACCTTTTAGGAACTCAAAATTTCAACACCCTTGAATAAGTCATGTTTTTCAAGTGTATCTTATTAAAAATATTTCCAAGATTCAGTAATTTTCTCATCCTCTTGACAACAGGTATTTTATAAGAATGGAAAAGGCAAAGAGAGGAAAATACACACATGTTGTTGTTTTAATAAACTAAGTCTCTCATTTTGTAAGACGCTTTGCTGCTAACCAAGCTCTTCATATACATTCTTTCCTGGAATCCTCGCTGCGAGCCTCTGAGTAATTATTGCCATTTTATAACGGACATGACAAGGCCTGACAGACTAGAGGCCCTGCCCACGTTCCCCAGAGACAAAGCACTCGCTTCCCGCATCTGAGCTCTCCCCAGTGCCCTCCGTGATGCCCACAGAGGGCCAGCGTTAGCCAGAGGGTGGTGTTTGAAGGTCCCATGACCAAGAATCCCGCGGTGAGCTAATGCCCGCTCTCATCAAAAGGACGTGTGATTCTATTCTGTTAGCAAGAATATTAAGATTTATCTTGGGAAAAAAAAATCACAGTGCATCTCTTTTTGATTCTTAAAGATAACCCTACCATGGCCTCTTGAAGCTATAAATCGATTCCATGGGACAATAGCAAATATGATCACAAGGACAAGCATCATCTCTCATCTCGCTGTGTTTTCCAAAGTGCTCCCCATTTGAAATATTCTTTGGGTTCAACATTCTTGTATTATAAGCAAGCTTAATTGTTGTTCTTTTTATTTTTTAATGCTATGTGGTTTACTGAAGTGAGATAATCATTCCCATGTTTTACAGCTCTCTCTCCTACTTTGGTTTTTATTTTCCCATCACATCTCTACGTTTTGATTTTTTTCCTCTTTCTCACCTGAGAGCAGGTGGACCAAGATGGTTCTTCAGAGGCTCAGTGAGTGATTTCCCTTGAGAGAGGCACATCTCTCTAGTCTGCCAAGGAATGAAAATTTCACCTGCCACTCAGATCATTTTGAATGGTGCCAAATAACTTCCACCGGATGCTACCGGCAGTAATTTCAGCACGAAACTGAGGAATGTGGTCCTTTTCTTCTAGCATCAGGCTTTGGTCTTGTCCTAAGAGCCATGATGATGACCGAGAGGGGACACACAGGTGGCTTTCCCCACAGAAATCACATAGGTTTCTCATGATTGGAGAAATGAAGGAGTTGAAGGGCTTCAGCACCTTGAAATGTCTGGACGGGATGCCAGGGATTAAGTAGGAACCGTACCGGTCAACTACTCCAAAAATTAGGCAAGAGCTTGATGAGAGGCCACCATGTTGTTATTAGCAGGCCTGAGGGCTTCTGCTAGGAAAAACATAACCTGTTGTAGCTCACAAAAAGGAAAGCTCTCGGTAAGAATGCAAAGTCCTGAAAGTCAGTGTGTGACTCTCCTCTTCCGGAGATGATAACATCCCAAAGTCTGCTAAGATTTTATGTTCAACCACAAGACTGTCCTTTACACAAGCAGAACCCGGTAACCGTCAAATCGAAGGGCTGAAGAAGACCGTGAGCAAAGCAGCTGGATGAACCAAGTTTTTTTTGTTTTTTGTTTTTGTTTTTTTTTTTTTAAAGAATAATAATAAGCCAAGAAGAGATGCAGAATGGCGAGAAAAGGCAGAGACGCAGAGGAGGGACCGGAGCGCGGAGGGAGTCAGGGAGGGGGAGGAGAAGAGAAAGCGGAGCGCGGACGTCAGGAACCAAAGCTCCGGAGGAGTCTGGCGGAGGCACTGGGGAGCATGGGGTGTTTGGAATAATTATTAAAATCCGCGTGTGTCTGCGCCATCCTGTGGGTGTGGCGCAGAGCAGAGTGTAAACTCTAGCGGGGCTGGAGCAAACATCGGATTAGAAGCAGCAGCCAGCCAGCCAGCCTGCCCGAGGAGTGCGGGGACCCGCAGCACGCCACCGGCACCATGGCCTCGTCTCAGGGGAAGAACGAGCTGAAATTCGCCGACTGGATGGCAACTCTGCCGGAGAGCATCCACAGCATCCCCCTCACCAATTTAGCCATCCCAGGTAGGCGCGCAGAGGCGCTCCCTCGGCGCCCGCTCCACCTGCCCCGCCCTGCTTTATCTGCCACTATGTGCTAAGTTGCCACGGTGCCCTTGGGAGGGAAACTCGTCCCCAGGGGAGGGTCTCGGGCCAGGCGAGCGCGCGCCTGGGAGCCTCTGGCCTCCTGGCCTTTTCCAAACCCCTGGGGACTGTGACGCGGAGAGTCAAGGTGACTGCTTTTCCACTGGGCTTTGGAAGCAGGCTGTGCCAGAGGGTCAGGGTAGGGGCAAGGCTTTGCTCTAGGTTGGCGCCTGGTGTCCCCTATTCGGTTTTTCTGCAGACTTGCTTTGGGGGGAGGGCGTGCATCAGGGTCTGTGGGGTGACCGCGCGCGCGCTGTCCTAAGGGCTCGGCTCCAGCGCCTGGACCTCCGACTCCATCCCTATCTCCGACTCCAGAGGATTTGGTAGATTTCTCGGTTACAACCTACCTGACTCATTTATATGCGTCCCCAGTGTCCTTTAAAGAGACAAAGCGCTTCCCCAAGAGTGATGAAAGTTGAGGGACCGGCAGCGGCGTGATCGCTGCCCTTGACCTGGGAGCTGCTGGGGGCGAGGGGCAGAGGGCGCCGTGTTGTGGTCTGTGTGGACCCGGAGGGCCTGGCCGGGTGGCTTGGCCGGGCGGCCGCCGTCTGGACTGCGATCCCAGCGCTGGTAGCAACGAGCGCCCGGGTCTGGAAAGCGAGCCCTGGCGGACTGTGGGCTTGATGCTCGGGCAGAGCCAGGCAGGGGAACCTGCGTGAGCAGTGGCGGAGGGCTGGGATTAACAGGCACACAGTGGGGGGAAGGTGTCTGTGCGGTGTCCAGACCGAACGGGAGAAAGGAAGACTGGCAAAGCCAGGAAGAGGCAGGGGGCATCCACAGGCTTCAGCATGGCGCGCGCGGCTTGGACCAGAGGACCGGACAGGTTCTTGGGGTGGGTGCGCGCAGCAGCCCCTACCTAGCTCAGGTGTGCAGGGGGGAGGACGATTGAGGACTCTGCGCCACGGTGACAGCTGGGGACATATCCATACTTCCTCACCAATTTGACTTTTCGCTTGGGCTGGAAGGATTAGGAGTAGGCGCCTAATCCTTCTCGGACAGGCTAGAGGGCAAATCACTCACGGACAGGTAGTCCACCCCGCCCCTGGCTGAGCCTGGTTATCAAGTTCAACCTTCTGTTCTACCTCCTCTCCATTCGCCCCATCCAGCACTCTCTTTCAGCCACGGGGGAGTCGGGGGTTGGGGGTGGGGTGGGGACAACACTTTTTTAAAAAGAAAGAAGGGTTTCTCTTAAAACAGTGTGGTGATGAGCAGAGGAGACGGCGGGGAGGCGGTGAAGGTGGGCAGCGAGGGGGAAAATGGGGACGTCTGAAATAGTGTTAACAATGAAAATAAAGTTTAAAAAAATTCCCGAGGGGTTCGAACCAGCAGTGCTGGAATCGTTCAGTGACTCAAACCAGTGGCCCTTAATCAAGTGGAGGTCTGGCGGCTCTGGCAGGCACAGGACACACTCTGAGCACCAACGTGGAAGGGAAGAGTTTTTCTTTTTGTTCTACTTCAAGAGGAAGCTTGCCAAGAGCCCGGGTGTCCCCAAGGACAAGAGCAAGCCAGCCTCCCCACTCCACAGTTCCTGCTACCTGTGGGGATTGCTCTTTTGAAGGAGGTGGTAGAAAGTACACACCTTAGTTAGCAAAGTGCCACTCTCATTCCCACAGGCCTTCCTACCCTCTTTTTCCCTTTGGTTTTTCAAGTGACTGTCACACGGCCTCACCTGAGCATTTTTGTACACACAGAAGGTAAGACAGGCAAGGACTCTGATGCTAGGCTTCTGGTATGAGGCTCTCCAGAGACACCAGGAGGTTAAAAGCCTAAATTCACATTGCTGGTTCTCAGGGATGCTATGCCGCCCTGTCTGAATCTCTTATATTTCTGTAATACCTCACTTTCTAGAGCTACAGTATGTGCAACAGATCACATAATCCTCCCTCACACTTCAGGAGGCAGGCATTGCTGGTACTGCTAACTCCATTTCACAAAAGGGAAAATTGCAGCTCAGTGAAGGCAAATGACCTAATATCAGTGCAGGGATCTTCCCCAGGGTCCCTAACGTGGTCCCTGGGGAAGAGCTCCTAGGGCTTTAGGAGCAAAAGGCTTTGGCATTTGCACCTGGATAATTCAGCAGCAACAGGTGCTAACCCGGAGGAAAGGGACCAGGAAATATGCATTAGCAGGAACAGGGCAACTTTCCTTTTCTCCCCATGGAACAAATAGAAAACCTGAGGTCGGAGACTTTGGTGCTCTGGTGGAGTCAGAGACGTAAGGATGATGGCGTTGGATGCAGTGGAAATTTCTACCGCTTTCCCAACCCTTATTAGTATTATACTCCAAGTGGATCCCTGCAAAGCTTCCCATTCTCACCTCCAATACTTCTGAGAAATAAAACTTATTCTCCAAGTCTACACTCCCCAGTTCTCCCATGGTTCTGTAATGGTGGTTTGGTAGGTCCATACATATTAATCCAGGTCTAAAAATGGGTTATGGTGCTTTTCTGCATACTCAACTATGAGAATTTTGGGAGGAAAAAAAGACATTCAAACTGCCATAGTCAGAAAAGACTAATTGGAGACTATTAAACACTAATGGAATAATTGCCTTAAAATCATGCTAATAGCTTCCTGGCTGCTCCTTGTTTACTTGGCCAGTTGCTACAGCGTGAATTAAGTAATTACCTCCACCATTTAAAACCACTCCTGATACACCACACAAGGGCTCCTGTGGAAGGGAGCTGCTCCTGCATCATCCTCAAAGCGTCAAGTTTTCGTAGGTGACACAGTTGGAGAGTGAGGAGCTGCCTCCTTACAGGCCACCCGCTTGGGGCAGCTAACCAGGCACCAGCAGGTGAGTGCTCAGAACGGCCTGCAGGTGTGTGAAACTCCCAAGCAGAGCACCCTTCTGGCCTCTAAACGTTCCTCAGTGTCTGCCTCTTGCCTCTTTTCAGAACCAGGCCTCTCTGTGGCTGTTCTGCATCCAAATGGCCTCATCATTTGCTACTGATTGGCCTACGGGATGAAATTAATAATTGGTGCTAGTAGTTTTGCTTTCAGGAATCTTTCAAAGGGATGGTAATGTCAGGACACATTGACAAGTACTCAGATTTCGGTCTCTTTTTATCATTTTTTCTTCTCTCTGATGACACCAAACTAGTTTTTCATTCGTACACGTTTGTTTAACAGTACCCTGGCATTCTGGGTTACGAACGATGCTGCCTCTCACCATGAGCAGGTGAGGGAGATAAACAGGATAGAAACAGGGGGATAAAGTGTAAGATGCAGGGGGAGTCTGATGAATTTCTGGTGAGTCGGATGGATTTCTGGCATCTCTGAAGCAGTCTTTAATTCTACAGTCATGGTGGCCCCAGAACCATTGTAAATGGGGGAGAAGCCAGCTGCTGCCTAATTTGGATAAAGTGCTGATGATCTGGGTCTGGGATGCGGCGTCACTTTGTCCTGAACCTCGATGACCAAGAAGGCCTTTGATTGCATGGGAGGGATCTGCTATGCATTTTCTGATCTGCGATGAAAGTCTCCTTCCCCTAGTATGTGCGTTGACCATGTGATGATAAAGGATTGGCCCAAATCTTGTAGGACCAGAACCCCAGAGAGAGTTCATGTTTCCGTGACATTGGAGGAGTTTCTTACATAGGATGTGACTGCCAGTGGACCCATGAGCAGGACTCAGGCAACTGGAGGCTCCTCACACCCTCCCTGTCCTTGGAGTGTTGGTTCTGCTCGCGTTCCCACTGCCTGTGCCATTTTCAAGGACACAGCCTTGCAAGATCAATGTGCTGTTGAGGCCACCTGGATGGTATGTGCGACTGAACACAGTGAAGGCCTGTGTACAAACTTCTAGGAGTCTGGCAGGCTAGTGGGGAGATCTCATCTTGTGGCCGCCTGAGACGGGCCTTGTCTGTGAGTTCCCTTGCTAATTAAAGCTGCCACTTACCAATCTGGAGTGACCTGTTTCTTTCTTTGATCTCTCCTTGCCCTCTGGGTACCGTGGCCAATTTGTGAACCAACATTTGAACAGGGTTTTTTGATTATACTTTACATAGGAACAGAGAAATGCTTCGGGAATCCATAATTATACCTGTCAGTTTTCTTCATTTCTTACAGAAAATGCCAACACCAATGAAGAACAACAGTTTTACTTAGGGAAATTAGATGTTCATACAGCCATACAGCTCTGACTTCTGTGTTCCTGTGTTGGCTTTCACTCATTTTTAATTTCTTCCCTGACAGCAGTATTTTCTTGTTGCTGGTGTCTTCCTCCTTTTCCTTGTAATTTACTATTTCTTTTTCGATGGGGATGAGATAGTCTACAGGAAGGATCTGGGACTGGGTCTAATTGTACAAATTTTGTTTTTAAAGCCAGTTTGTTTCATCTTTTTAGTTAAGATGGCTATATGGAAGTTAATATTTCAAAGCAACCAACAAGCAACAAGATTGTTTAGGATGAATACCTTGTGTTGCCTTTCCAACCCCCAGTTTTGTTTTTGATTTTGCTAAAGAGAAAAAAAATGGGAGAATATCAAGAACATAATTTATTCTACTAGGACTTTTTCTGGAACAATGGAGCTGATTCACCAACTACTTGTAATCAATATAAGGTGATGTTTATGTCATTTTACAGTTCATGAAGTGTTTTCTCATGGACACATGTGCTCTCTTCATGTTCTAGCCATATTTAAGGCAGCAATTTTCAACCTTTTTCATCTCATGGCACACATAAACTAATTATAATTTTGCTTCATTCACAATGACAGCTATCATTGTGTTGGCTATTGTCATATTTTTTTTTCCTTTGATAATCTAAGGGAAAAGAGATTAGTGCCCCAGACTAAATAGTCAGGTATTGCATATTTTAAAAATTCTGGTGGCGCACCGGTTGAAAACTGCTGACCTAAGGCCTTGCTCCTCAGCGCTGGC